CCCCAAAACCCCAAAACCCCAAAACCCCAAAACCCCTTAAGATATATTTTGATGTTAAATTGAGTATAAACAAATAAATATTTATTCAAAGAATCAGCGAACTAGGATTCAACTTTGTCTTCTCATATAAATCTATTATATTTCCCTATTGCTTATCAATGAGTCTAATATTTCACTATAGACCCATTTCTTTAACCTTGTAGTCAATAAAGCTAGGTAAATTTTCAATAGATTCTTTCGCGAACTTCAACTCATTTTTGCTATATATCTTAGCTTTACTTTGTTAAACATACTATAAATATATATTATCATTGAGCACGAATATATTACAAGTTATTCTAAAGCTGATAATCCTGCTCTCATCATTTCAAGAACTTGCTTTTCTACTAAGCTTTAGTTGTAGTTTGCCTCAGAGAAAATGTCAAAAAATCCATTTATTGCATGGGCAATTAACAAAAGATTACCTGATTTGCAAGAACTTATCAAAATTTCAGACACAACCTACAAAGTTTAATTAATGATTGCTAAATTACATGAATATTTTCAGGTGTAGTGAGAATTGATTTGCTATGAGATGATTCAGTTGATAATAGAAGGGTCAAAGCCATCACACAAAGCTGTTTTATTTCAGGAAGTTGAACATAGTTCCCGAGTCTTATTAGTGGATCCAATAACTACTCAAATAGGTATGGCTTCATCAAGCCTGATTGATCATTGTTCAAAACAAATAAAGTTATTTGCATAAGACTCTCAAATAAAGTTTCCTCGCATTTGTATAGATTCAAATCAATTGTACCTTTGACTGAAGCAATTAAAGGATAAATCATGTCTTGATTAATCAAGCTCCCAAGATTTTAAATCACATTCAGTAGTAATCCAAATGACGATTCCTAAACTTCATTCATTAGTGTTTCAATCTCTTATGGCAAGCCAAGATACTAAGGAACCGCTTCAGCTCTTTGTAAAATCTTACTGTAGTAATCACCACTCAAAATTAGATCAGCACAGTACTTCTTAATGACATCAGTATCAATCACAATCTCATTGTTACTATCTTTTGCTGGCTCATCATCGTCTATTTCTTCAAATTCATCATCATCTTAGTCACTTGAAGAAAGAGCAATGATCTCACAAAGCAAATCCAGAACGCTTTAATTAGATCTTGCTAATGATTTCCAAAGTCTGTATTCCACTGACTTAACAACATTATCTTCCTTTACTTCCTTCAACTCTGCTTCATTATCATCTTCCTCTTCTACCTCGTCTAGCATGTCTTCATTCTCATCTTCATTCTCATCAGCATCTTTTTATTTTTACTTTCCATTCTCATCAACTGGCTTATCAGCTGGTTTGTATTTAGAACTAAATTCCTTCATGAATACTTGCTGAGGGGTATGATAGCTGAATATTTTGGCAATCACAGCATTAATAACCTCCATATTCTAATGCACTAGTTGAAACCCACCTTGGTTGAATAGCACATTGTAAAAGAATACAATCAAGTTCGATACAAACTCGCAATTGTCCTCGTTTAGATTTGCAGCGAATGTCTTAATAAATTCACAAAATGGTTGAGAGTAAAAGATCTTGGCATAGGTGTTATCAGAGGACATTTCTTTAAAGAACACTGAGATTTGTCTGAATATCTTCACAGTCATGTATGGGTATGTCTAGCAGTTCAGTAAAAGCTAGAAGTACTATTGAGTATGCTCAGACTATGTTAATTGCTTTAATAAATCACCATGCTCAATAAAGTGGAATAATTCACTGAGGTTGACAAAGCACTGCTCAATCACAGTTTAATAGAGTTCAATTGAGATTGGGTTTTACTGATTGGCAGGAAGCTTAGTATCGTGCTCTAAAAGTCTCATGCATTTCTAGATCAACTCATTAATGCAGTTCAAATAGCCAAGCTTAATGATGCCTTGAGCGAATTCAATTCTTTCTATCAGATAGGCTTGATTTATTAAATTTCTGATAAAAAATGAGGCTATAATAATATGATTATTACTTTAAAGCATCCAGAGCAAAATATGAAGCCCTCGTCTGAAGTTGATTACTTATGTTCAATAGTTTATTGACTAGGTCTATATTTAAAGATTATTATTAGCCATTAAATTGATTTGCATTAATAACTTACCAACATTGTAAAACTTTTCTAGAGGCAAGTCGCAATTGAGACTTATTGAAGCGATAGTCATTAAAGCCTTTTCTTGTTTAAGATGATCATCTGACATAATCTAATCTCGTTGTTAATAAGTATTTGAGTAGAATTAATAGGCGACCTTACCTTTTAAAAGACACTTTCTTATCCAAATTCATTTTGGATCTCGGTATCAATCTCATGATTATTCTATTTAGTTTTGTTTTACGCTTTATTTTTCTTTATGTTTGTCTTCTTTACCATTTATTATTAAATAATGCTCAAATTATCGCCTATTCAGATTATATTAAAGCAAGGGGTTTTGGGGTTTTGGGGAGATCGGAAGAGCA